CGTGGCCGTTGATCTAAATGATCAACGGCTTAGATCAACGGCCTGGATTGAAAGAAAGGGCCAGGCGGGTTAATTGGTTGGGTCAGGGGTCGAGTTAGATTAGAATTGGGCCGGTCCAATTGGGTTTCNTAAAATATATAAAAATTACCTTAACTATATTTTGGTATAAATGGAAAATAAAACAAATTATCCACCAAAATGATAATTTTGGGAATAATTATTGGTTTTTATACTGCTAAAATGAGCAATAAATTGATTAAAAAAATCTTTAAAAATTGGGGAAAAAAAATACTAAAACACTTGGGAATACTTATATATGCGTACATATGTTATTTTGAAAGAATTTTGTATATGAAAAATACATAGGGAAAAATTGGGTATCAACATGTCCAGGAGTAGTAGCCCATGTACAAACAAGATCAACCACTTCTGCAAAATATATTGTTACTGCTAAACAATCAAACAAAGAGCGTCCAAATATCATTGAAGAGAATCTGATACTACCACAATATTCAGAAGTAGCAGCCCATGTACAAACTAGATCAACCACTACCGCCACACAAGTAATAGATGAACAAGTGGAGGAAGAAGTTCAGTTGGATTCTACAACTCCTAAGTAGATGAACAATGTGAAGAACATGGTAAGAACATATAAATTTTATCTACAAATATTACATCCTATTGCAGTCATAAATAACGTATCAACAATACTGATTTGGTGTTTTTTTATTCATATAATTGTAGGCCCTTCTATTCAACCAAGAGAAAGAGGTAGAACAAAGATGAAAAATGTACATGGACGCAAGAAGCGTAAAGTGATTTTATTGAACAACTTAAATCAACCCGTTGGTCCTAGTGATAAAGTTGTGATAGAGTTTTGAAGCTTCCTCGGTACATTGGCAAGGAATGCGACTCTATGTCCTCTTGATATTTTGGATTGGAGGAAGATGGACACAAAAGAGGATATATAGGAATATACGAAGGTCTTAACTTCTTAATTTTTAATTTTTTGCTGAAAATCTCATATCTTCTACACTAACAGATTTGACATCAATTGTAGGATAAATATGATATTTCTGAAGCTGGAAAAAATTATACTTTGGAATCAGTGCAAGATGCGTGGAGAAAGCACAAGAGTAGATTGAAAAAAGATCACTTTGACGCATATCACAATGATGAAGCTCGACTGCAAAATATCCCTGAAGATGTTCCAGCTTCTCAGTTTAAGGAACTCCTTAGGTATTGGAACTCAGAGAAACTCCAAGTATGTGTACTTCTTTCTACTTCTACTTCTTCTTCTTCTTCTTGAACTTCTTCTTAAAGTTCATGGGGATGTTTCTTCCTTTTTTCTCTGCTTAACTACTGCTGGTTTTTTTGCGCTCTTTTACTTTGTTGCTACTGCATATACACCCTGTTCGCTGCTGCTGCTATTTGTAAAGACTAGCCAACTGGTTAGTTTGTCAAAACTAGATTTGAAAGTAGCCTTCTATTTATGCAATACAAGCTTTTGTACTTTTAGTACTAAGTAGTTACTGAAGATGGATGAGTGGTAAGGCTTGCAGTAGGTCTGTAATACCTCTAGTACTTTTGTTATTAGTGGCTTGATCTCTTCTTTGTTTAACGTTCATTATTAGACAAATGGAACTGCATTTATATTACATTTTTACTATTTTAGTGATGTAACTTGATTTTCTACTGTTAAGATTTTTTCTGGAGATGGCGGACCATTTAGCTGGTTGAATCATTTATCTTGCTTCATGAGCCACTTGTTTTTTTTGGATAAGTTAATGTATTTCATAGAAAACATTAAGAAGATGCAGAATTCAGCTTTGTTTTCTGAAATGGTTGACTGTTTACTTGTGGATATTGAATAGAGGTTCGGAAAATCAGCTTGCAATGTTGAGTCCCCCAACCATTTATCTTCCCAGAACCTTACTTTTGCTCCATTGCCTTCCTTAAACTTGCATTGGTGATAAAACTCCTCCCCCACTTAAAAAAAGAAAAGAAAAGGCCCTTAACTTCTAGATTGATTGTGCTATTTAAGGATGAACTATATGACTTGAGTGATCAATTAAGTTATGAGAATAATCGGTCATATATATCTGAATGGCTTGTACTGAAGAACATGAATGATCCATAATGAAGTTGTTTGATGTTTCTTTCTTCTTGCAGAGAATGTCCCAAATTAATATTGAAAACCGGAAAAAGTTGAAGAATCCTCACACTGCTGGAAAACGAAGTTTTGCTTTAGTTCGCTCTAAGTTGGTCTGTAACTAACAAATCATGGCAAAAAATTTCTCAATTTTGGCTCTTGTTTAGTACATGGTAGATCATGAGGAATGCTAACTTACTTTCAAGTAACTAGGAAAACGATAAGGAAACTTCGGATCCTTTATCAGCAAAGGAAGTCTTTGTAGCTACAAGAAAAAGGAAAGATGGGCGATCATACAAGTGCTCGGATGAAGATATAACTAGTAAAATTGTGCGAATTATACTTAACTGATGTTATATCGAGATCAATTATTTGTTTTTATTAGTTTACTTTTTATTTACTTGTTCTATTTGTTTGAATTTTCTTTGAAGGCTGAAATGGAGGAAATTGAAGCACAACAAAATGAAAATGGCAATGAGTCCGTAGATGCATTTGCATCTGTCATGGGGACTGAACATTTGGGACGTCTGAGATTGTATGGACGAGGGGTTACAAGAACTTCTTTGAGAGAGAAAGTAGGATTTTTTGAATCCTCTTCAAATACTACAAATTCTCTACAAAAAACAGAGGAGAAGATACAAAGAATGGAGGAAAAAATTGAGGAACAAAAGGTAACTATCCGTCAAGAAGTTGTTGCAGATGTCCTTGTATGACTTCAGCGTTCAGGAATTGATATTGATGCTAACATTATTCTTGCGGTATTGGGTGATAATTCTCCAGGAGAAGCTTTTTCTGCACAACAATCAACTTTGCAACCAATCCGTCATTCATCTATTGATAGCAACAAAGAAGGCCAACTCATTCCAAGTATTAATATTGCTTATTTAAAATGAAAAAGTACTCATTTAAATTCGTTCTTTTGGCGACGTACCTACTGATGGGTGGGTGAGGGATAGGGAATTTTCTTCTATTTTTTAATTTGACCCATTATAATCTGCTGAAGATACTCTATTTCTTAGCGGTGTGCACTATAATAATCTTCGCATATCCATTTGATAGTGCTTAAGCACTCGTATCTGCTTTGTGATTTTCTTAATTTTGATTTGCATGTTCCATCTTTGCTGCTAAGAAATTATTGATAGAAATTAGTATATCTTTACTTTAGTACTATTAATAAAGGTGCAATCTTTGCTGCTGCTACTCGTTAGTGGTTGTCGTATGATGCATCTGTGCTTTTGTTGCGGCTGTGTAAAGTGTAATCTTGAATTAAAAATTCTGCTGCTGGGTTAGAAATTTTGTTGTGCTGGGCTGCTACTCGTTAGTCGTAATTCTGCTGCTCGTAAAGCCTTTGTAGTAATTATGAATAATAGAATACTCAACTTTGCTTACTGGATTCCCTTTTTGTATGGTTTTTTAGGCTAACTTTGTTTCTGGTTTGAGGCTTAATCCTTATCCAGGAATTGAATTAGGCCAAAGCTATGCTGATAATTTGTGGAGTGCAGCCTCTGATGCAGGAAGGCTTTAGTATATACTATGTGTAGTTACAAGCATATTTGACATTTTCATCTTTGGATGGCTAGGTGCCACTTATATGTAAACAACAATTGTGGTTGATGATAATTTTTTATTGAGTTCTGATGCAGGTATTCTGTTTTTGCTTCTGCAGTTGTGCTTGCTTAGGCTCTAAAGTCTTAACAGTGTTATTAGCACAACGTGATTCTATTGTTGTTTTCGTTCAATAGCTGTCAGACATAATATTGTTTAGGTGATGTTGTTTTGGTTCAGTAGTTATCAGCTATAGTAGGTTCTGCATAGTCGTATTTATATATGATGTTTTGAGCAGGTTGAAAATTTTGCGATAGTCATATATACAAAGGAAACTCTGCCGAAAAATTTAAGAATTTAGAGAATTTGAAAATTTTCGAGTTATCTAATTGGTCATTCAATTACTTTGTGATTAAATTATTAGCAGTCAAATTGTTAAGCATTCCTGGTGTCATGCCAAGATTGACACCCATGCCCACTTTAGCTAGTAAAGGCATATGAATATGTGATTGCATTAATCCTAGAGTAGACAGTACTGGAGGCATCATCATTTGAGACTCCATGTTTCTTGCATTGCTTATTAACTGAATTTGTGCTTGAAGCTGCTTTAAGTACTTTATGACTCAATTATCCTAAAAATTTTGTTTGATTATTTCTCATTGTCTTTTGTAGGTGCAACGATTGTGGATGAAAGCAGTGGCGAAGACGTTACTTGAGTGTTGTTGATCGTTGTTAGACTTTCTATTATTATGTTTAAGGATATATTTTGGTTTAGAACTTTTTGTATGCAAACTATCTATTTTGACTTTTGAATTGTTGACCAAATAATGTATCCATATTTTGTTTTTGTATATAGATAATGCTAGTTGGATATGGTGTAAACAATTTCATGGAACAGGAAAATATTTCGTATTTTGCTTCCATAAATATTAGAAATTATAATTTATTGCAATAGAGAATATAACCGTTTCAATAGACCTATTAAATATAAGAGAAACCCTTAATAACCGTTCCAATATGTCATAATATCCGTTGCAATAGGGTACTGATAATTGTTCCAATATATCACAAAAACTGCTGCAATAGACTTAAAAAATCAATTGAATTATTATATCAGGACAATTTATAACCGTCCCAACAGAAAAGAAAACCGTTCCTATAGATAGGACAATGGTGCAGTCCAAACCGTTACAATATCCCTATTTATGAAGACGGTTTTCAAACTGCTGCAAATAACCGTTCCAATAGACCTATTGTAACGCCGAATCCCAGAACGCGTCCAAATCCGTTCCAATATACCTATAGGGACGGTTAGCCTATCTATTGCAACGGTTTTAGAAGGGTTGCCATAGCTGTAATTTCTAGTAGCGGTGATTTAACGAACTGAAGGAGGGAATGCAGAAGAAATTGATGGTGGACGATATTGATGGACAAGAATTAGACAAGCTGGAGCTGATTGACAATTTACAAAGACTTGGACTGAGTTACCTCTTCAAGGAAGAAATCTTTCAAATTTTGAGGAGCATACACCAACAACAACAAACAACAACGACCCAGTATAATCCCACAAGTGGGGTCTGGGGAGGGTAATATGTACGCAGATCTTACCCCTACCCCGAAGGGTAGAGAGGCTGTTTCCAGGCTGAGGAGCATACACCAACAACAACAAACAACAACGACCCAGTATAATCCCACAAGTGGGGTCTGGGGAGGGTAATATGTACGCAGATCTTACCCCTACCCCGAAGGGTAGAGAGGCTGTTTCCAGGCTGAGGAGCATACACCAAAAACAAATATTACAGCAGGAAGGCAGAAACGTAGTCTCGGGAGAATATTCATTATTATACGCCACAGCTTTGAAATTTAAACTCTTGAGAGAATATGGTTTTGATATCTCTCAAGGTACTTACTGTTCATCTGTGCATGTTTTGGGGTCCTTTTTTATGCTCTTAAATTCTTTTGGTTATATTATGTCTTTTAACATAGACCAGTAAGGCAATAGTCTAACATGTTGACATACACATACATACATGTGAAGATGCGTCTGCATTAATGATTAACTTTAATTACACTAAACACTCATATTATGTGATTCAGTTCTAGATAGACCCCTTCAAAATCAAGGGGTCAATATTTACCCCATTTATAGTTTACTTTTGTCCCGTTATACTTTTCGTCCAAATTCATCTCCACCGTTAACAAACTGTTGAAAATTGTCCCTAGCCTTAACGTCCCTCCACTGTCCCCTCTCTAATATTTTGTCTATGTCAACAACCAAATTAGCATGTCCCTACAGAGGCGGATCTGGGATATTAATAGGATGGGTACACTATTTGTAAAGAGGTGAATCTAGAAGTTATATTTTATGGGTTTAATTTTACTCTCTTACCATGAACTCACTACACTTTTGAAATTATAGGTTCAAAATTATATTCTTATTGAAATTTTAGTAGTATTCACATATATATGTATACTCCATGTCGAAAAAATACTGTTCGGAGTGGGATTTAAACCGCCAATTTTATTTGTAGAGGTGCACCTAATAATAATTGCATTATAGGAGTCTTTGAGCATAGATGCACATACATATATTTAAGTAATTTTGAAGAAATATAACATTGTTATACATGATTTAGGCACAGGAGTATGTTTTCACGTGAACCCATATCCATTAACCTAGATACGCCTCTAGTCCCACTAATTTAAAATGACCCATCTTGGTTGCTAACATGGACAAAATATTAACGGGCTCGGGTGCCACACTAGAGGGACGTTATTCGACTGGGGTCAATTCTCAAAAGTTTGTTAAAGGTAGGGGTGAATTTGGATAAAAATATAACGAGGGACAAATATAAACTATATACCATAGTATAGGAGTAAATCTGGACCTTTTCCCATAAGTTAAATACTTACCCACCTTATCCTATAGAAATCCTGGGCTTACACCCCATATGAGCTATATTTGTAATTAAGTATATTAAAATATAATTATTAACAAAACTAAATTCTAAATAAAATGTTTTTTTGTATCTATTTTTATGAAATTTTTAAAAGAAAAATGAACATATTTTTTCTGAATTTCTTATTCACGCCCTTGATTAAAAAAGAGAACAATTTTTTTTTTGAAACATGTACTTTCGAAACTCATGTATAAGAAATAAGCATAAATACTTAGAACCTATTTGGCCAAGTTTTTTTCAGCCAAAATTATTATTTTAAAGCACCTTTTTCCAAAGTTAAGGTGTTTGGTCAAGCTTTTAGAAAGGAAAAAGTGTTTTTGAGTACAAACAGTTTTTGAGAGCATAAAAAATATCTTTTCTGAAAATCACTTTTGAGAAAAAATATACTTACAAGGAACTTTTTAAAAGCTTGACCAAACACTAATTGTTGCTCATACTTTTCAAAATAAGCCAATTTTAGAAACTTGGCCAAACAAGCTATAATAACAACAACTAGTAATAACTTTCTTGCATTTTAAACATGTAAGATATTTGTATTTTCATTTAATTATTATATCTTAACATATATTTAAAATATCTCATTTCAGTTTTAGTTTATTTATTTGTTCTTCCACTTCAAAATTATCTTAAACTAGAGGGAGGTTGCTCGTGCTATGCACGGGCCCAACATGTTAGGTTTTATGTTTATTTTTTCCTTCAAGTTCTCTGTAAAAATAGCACAAGCTAGACAGTTTTCCGACTGGTCATTCAAAAATAGCCAGCATTTATAAAGTCATTGAAAAATACCCAATATTTTGCTGCAACACAAAAAATTCCAGCATAATATACTGGAGATCGATGCACTTGTATATGAACTTCCAGCATATTATGCTGGAACTCCAACATGCGGAAAGTTCCAGTATATTATGTTGTACCGATATATTGTACTGGAGCTCCAGTATATTATACTAGAGTATTTTTCCGGATTTTGAATAGTATTTTCGTTTAGATTTATCTTTACATGAAAAGTGGCTAAATTTCGATTACTTTTGAAACCGTGGCTATTTTTGAATGACCACTTATAAATTTGGTTATTTTTGAATTTCTCCCAAGTTCTCTACTAGCAATACCAGTATAGCCTTGTACATAAATGACAATATGTAGGCCCAAATATATAGTC